AAGTCCCCAGCATAAGCTAAGATAAGCATTATGTATGGAAAAGCCAACTTGGGTGGGCCCACAAGTTGGGTGGAACAGGATCTGAGGGAATCATCGGGGTGGGGTGACCAGTGTTAGCTACATTAATGGAGACTCAGATATGGCACTCACCTGTGTCTACATGCTGGATGGTGGGAGGGCTCAGCAATGGAACAATGGCTTCTTCCAGCACTTCTGTCTGGGAGAAAGCTGCTCCTCCAGCCCTTGCCCTGAAATCAGAAGATTCAGTTCCTCTCTGTTTGTCCCTGGAAGCTTTTGAGCTGCTGCCCCAGCTCTGAAGCTCAGAGCAAGTAAGTCCATCAGCGAGTAAATCTATGTGTGGGCCCTTTTAAAGGAATGTCTTTAAGGGGAATGTCTGGGACTCCAACAACCTTTCATCTCACTCAGCACCAATCTCCGCTAGTTTTCATAGTCAGAAGTTATGGAGACTTCTCCTTCTGGCGCTGAAACCCTAGGCTGGAGAGTTTGATATAAGGCTGGGCCACTTGATCCTCAGGGGTACCTCCACAGCCAAGAGATTTTTAATTGCCACATGTGAGTGTTGGACTAGCTTGGTCTCTGTCTCCACTCCTCTTACCAGTTTCTATGTGGCTTCTTCTGTATGTCCTTAGTTATAGGACTTCTGTTCAGCTAGACTTTAGGCGATTCTCAATGATGTCTGTTCTATAGTTTAGTTATAATTTTGATGTGGTTGTGGGAGGAGGCAAGCACAGGGTTTACCTACAATACCATCTTGACCAGAATTCTCATCTGGTGTGGATGTTAATAATGGGGAAGGTTGTGTATGTGTGGGCGTAGGGGGTGTATGAGGAATCTCTGTACCTTCTCTCAATTTTTCTGTGAACCTAAAACTGTTCTAAAAATTGTTTTCAAAAAATGGCAACATGGAAAGGAAAAGAGCAGAACAAAATGGTTAAAAATGGAATATGGGGCATTCTGTGTTACAGTGCATTCAGAGGGTTGGCCTTACCACTTCGTCTGCTACATGGTGAAAGCTTCTCATTGTCCAGCTGGCCACATAGAGGGTGGCTACCATGTCCTGCTCCAAACTGAGGCCTTCCCCACACTTACCTGTAAGAAAACTCTACCTTGTCAGAATCATCTGTTTAAATGAATATTGGATCACATCCCAACATTGCTCAAAAGCCTCCTATGGCTCCCATCTCATTTCGAATAAAGCCCAAAGCCCTCATCCAGAGCCTTACATGATATAGCCTCTGGCTACCTCCTTGATGTCCTCCCTGCCCCAGTAAGCCTCATACAACAAGCAGACACCCATCCTATAGCCCTTATAAATGCTGCCTCTGCCTGGAATCACTTGTGGTAGGCTGAATAATGACCCCCCAAAGAGGTTCATTCCTAATCTATGGAACTTGTGAAAATATTCCGGAAGGCACTTTGCAGGTGTGATTAAGGTAAGGATTTCGAGGAGAGATGATTTTGTATTATTGGGTGGGCCCAATGTCATTACAAGGGTCCTTATAAGGGGGAAGCAGGAGCATCAGAGTCAGAGAAGGAAATGTGATGCCAGAAGCAAAAGTAAGAGAGTGAGAGAGAGGTATTTGAAAATGTTCTGTCGCTCACTATGAAGAGGAAGAAGAGCTAAGAAGCTGGAGAAGGCAAGTAAATGAATTCTCTCCCTCGAGGCTCCAGAGGAATTCAGTCTTGCCAATTCCTCTTTTAACACCATTTAAGACCCAAATAAGACTCATTTTGGACTTCAGATCTCCAGAACAGTAAGATTATAAATCTCTGTTGTTTCGAGCCATTAAGTTTGTGGTCATTTGTTACAACAACCACAGGGAACTAATGCACCATCCCTCCAGACCTCTACTTGTCTCCTTCTTTCTTGTTATTCAGACTCATCTGAAATGTCATCTCTTCAGAGAATCTGTCTGTCCCTGGCTACCCCAGCTCAATAAATATTTGTTGACTGAATAATTGAAATAGGAATGTACACTTGACCCCAATAAAGGTTGAAGCAAGAGCTCACAAACACCTGTGGGCTAAAGTCAGCCTGCAGATATGTTTTCTTTGGTTGGCATCGTGTTTGAAGACTTTTTTGAGCCAGCCTTCATAAATTAGATAGTTTTACTCAGATATCTCAATTTCCAGAATCACTTGAGACTTTTCAAGGAACCAGGCCTACATTTATGTGAGTACGTTATGACATAGCCTCATAGTCCCTCCCCCTCAACCCAGTATAAGAATTCCTACATTGCAACAGCTCCCCAAGACCTTTTGCCCTTTTTTTTTTTCTGCTTGGCTCATGAAGGCCATTGAGTTGGCAAACTTGGTGTCTCAGTTAGGTTTCCTTTAAAAGGAAATATTAAAATCGGAAATATCAGCAAAGAGATAGAAGGTATAAAGAACAAGTAATTAGAAATTTTAGAACTAAAAAATGCAATAACCAAAGTAAAAGGCTCACTGAATGGACTAAATAACAGCACGGAGATGATAGTGGATGGAGTCAGTGAACTTGAAGATAGATCAACAGACAGTGTCCAACCCGAACAACAGAGAATATGAGAGGAAAATTAACAAAGTCTCAGGAACCCATAGGACAACAGTTATTTTATGTCTTCAGAGTCCCAGGAGAGGAGAGGGAAAGTGGGGCCAAAAATGTTTGAAGAATATAATTTCAGGAAGCAGAAGTGAGGAGGGAAAGGGGGTGAGCTGATATTTGTGCTTTAATGAGCTGGTTGCAGCTATACCCACCTGGAGCTCAGTGCTGCTGGGGTCCCTCTGAGAGAATGTCCCTCTGGGGTGCCTCAGAGTTGTACCATCCAGGGCTGGGGAAGCTTGATGTCTATTCTCCCACTCCCACCCCTTGTGAGTAAGGATTGCTCCTGGGCACATCAACTGCCCAGCTTCCAGCATCCTCCTCTCCCACTCCTGGTCTAGCAGGCTCTTGAAGGGAGTCAGGAAGCCACCGATGCCTACAGGAACCATCTACATAACTCCTGAAGCTGCAGGGGTCCTCAAGGTGAACTGGGGGTTATGGGTGGGTGTGTTAGTTGTCCATTGCTGCGTAACAAATTGCCATACATTTAGGAGCTTAAAACAACACACATTCATGATTCCTTAGTTTCTGTGCATCAGGAGTCCAGACATGACTTGACTGGGTCTTCTGCTCAGGGTTTCCCAAAGCTGCGGTCAAGGTGTTTGTTAGTCAGGTTGTATTCCCACCTAGAGGCTAACTGGAGAAGAATCTGCTTCCAAGCTCATTCAGGTTGCCAGCAGAGTTTATTTCCTTGTGGCTGTGTGACTGAGGCACTGGCTTTTTGCTGACTGTCATCCTTAGATCCTAGAGGCCATTTGTAGCTCCTAAACTCACTCCCTAGTGGGCTTTCTCAGCATGGCTGTTTACTCTGTCAAGCCAGAAAGCCTCTCTCGCTCTAGTTGGCTAAGACAGAGGCTTATATAATGTAGTTGTGCCTACCTAATCAAGGGAGTGACCGCCAAGTCTTTCACCATATTTATTGGTTAAAAACATGTCATAGGTGTTATCCATACTGAAGGAGAGGGAATCACATAAAGGTGGGGACACTGGGAGGTGAAAAATTGCTGGGGCCACCTTAGGGTTTGCGTGCCACAGTGGAGCACCAACAGCTTTGTGTGGATTATGTGACCTTCAGTGACAGGCCTGGGAATTGGACCTAAGCTTGGCTCTGGCTGTTCCACCTCCAGCCACTACATGCTAGGGGGTGCTGTGGGTGCAGGATACCGGGGATTTCCTGGGAGCAGGTGCTGGGGGTGGGGAAAGCCCATATGTAATCTTTCACTCTCTCATCTCTGGCCCCATTCCCAAGTTCACTATGTAATCTCAGGCAAATTGCCTTAATCCTCTGTGCCTTGATGTTTTCAGCCACAAGTGAGGTTCATAACCCCTCCAGTCTCATGGGTAGCTATAAGGACTTAATGTTTGTGAAGAGTGTAAGTTATGCCTATACCAGGAGGTCCACAAATATTTGCTATTATCATTATTTTCTGCCCTCTGCTTCCCAATGGATCCCCTTTAGTTCTCCATGAACATTCTCCCATTCTACAAGAATCTCTGGATCTCAGGGCACCACGTGAAACCTTAAATGTTTTGGCAATAGTGTCTTGTATATGAGAGGTGAGCTGTGCTCTTTCCTCAGTAACAGAAGTTCTGTTCTGAAAGTTTCAGATCTGTCCTGTAGTTGCTTCACAGTGGAATATCAGGGCAATTAATTTTACAAGGCATTAATATTTTATTTCTCACTCTTACACTCTGCTAAACAGTGTGTTTAATTTCTGGGAACAGTTAGGCCAGGTGATTCCCGTGGGGGTCAGCTGGACTAGGCCTTGTGCCATGTCCTGGTGGAGGGGCCTGTCTCCCCTTCTCATGGTCTGAGGAGCCTCTTTCCACTGCAAGAACCAGGAAGGGTGGTATGGGTCCTGCTGTCCTGGGCCATAACTCTGGCAGCATCTTCTCACTTGGGGAGATATGGCTTAGCCTAAAAGCCCTAGGCATAATTAAGGCAGAGTCGAGTAAGGGACAAGTGAGGAAAGGCAATGGCCCAGTGCAGATCTGTAGGGGTCTGGAGATTACTCATTCCCATCCCCACCTCAGCCTTTGTCCATAGGGTTGTGTAGTAAGTGAGGTGACTACAACTTACCTCCCTCAGAGACTCACCCTGAAAATGGAACTCATTCCACCCTTCATTTCCTCCCTGTGAGGCTTGAACTGGGGCGTGAAAACTCTTGGTTTCAGCTGGAGCCTCCCTCCAATAACTGGATAGGTAGTCTTGCCTCAGTTTCCTCATCTGTGGAATGGGGATTGCTAATGAGTCAACAGAGCAGGAACTGGAACAGGGAGGAGCTCAGTCACCCTTAGCTGTGGCTACCAGTCTGTTTCACCCACATGCATTCAGAGTATGGTACGGAGCAGGCACAAGCTATGGAAAGGACATATGGAAAGCATAGGTGGCCAGGTCTCTTGGACATTGCAGGTTTACTTTATTTCACCAGCAGCACATGGTTGCTTCTTTTGCTCCGTGAAGGGCGGAACAGCTTGAGCAGCATCCCAAGCAGGCCCAAGATGGTGCCCACCAGCAGCATCAGCTTCAGCCCCTTGAGGACAGAGTTGGCCTTCCCCTTCTGGGCCTCTCCTGCCTCCTGCTGTTGTCCATCTTCATCTCTCCTCAGACTCTCCAATATATCCAGCTTGGTCATGGGGTTGAATCGAGCTACAAGCTCCTGATGCACAAAGCACTTGTAAATGGCCGGCTGGAAGACTTGAAGTCGCCTGCCACCATTGGAGGGGTCCAAGATGGTGCTCACATCTTGGCCAGAGAGCTGGCCCTGCCAGGTCAGGGGTGTGTTGTTGGCTTCCCAGACAGTGGGCCTGCAAAGGAGTACAAGGTCAGCTGCAGTACCCAGGGGGAAAAGTGACAGATGTCTGAAGGAGCTGGAACCAGCAGCACCCTCCTCCCTGGAGAATAGCAAACAGCACCCCCTCTGAGGAGAACTATATAGCAGTGAGCAAGGGGAGAATGGGGGCATGAGAGCTGGGAGTTCTTAGAGCCTCACCCCTAACTGGGTGGGCCACCTGGCCAAATGCCTCCAGCTCTCTGAGCCTCCATTTCCCCATCCAAACACTGGAGGTGTAGTAGTTGTACCTACCTCAGACAGTTACTTGGAGGGATTTGCAAGAGTGCTCTCTAAATGATTTGTGTTCCCCTTTACCTGTCTGGCCTCATTTCCTCCGACATACTGGGCACAGTCCTGCCTCAGGGTCTTTGCCCTGGCTGCTCCCTTTGCCTCAGTGCTTGCCTTCAGTGTACCTTCTTTCAGTCCTGGCTAAATTGGTATCTTCTCAGAGACACCTTCCCTGACCTTCTCATTTAAACTTTCACCTTGCCCAGTCGCATCCTTTCTTCCTCCCCTATTGCTGTCTAAAATACTGTATATTTTATTCATTTGATTACTTTATTGCTCCATGAGGGCAGGAATCTTTTTCAGTTTTGTTCTGTACTGCATCCCGGATACGTAGAACAGTGCTTGGCTTATGAATGGTCAGTGGTAAGTGAATAATGTGGTAAGTAAATTATGTGGAAAGCAAATAAGTGAATCAGACATATTTCATGCCCATCACAGATGAAGAACAGAGGGGACACTCAACAGACAACATTGACAAGGCCAACTGATAATCATACAAGCAATAAGTAATACCTATTAATGTAGAACTGTTTGTCAGACATTGTTGTTAAGTGTCTTTCCAGTTATTTGCCCCCTTAGACATCACAATTACCCCATGAGGCCGGGGCCAGCAAGACGTCTGTACTGAGTTAGATAGCGTTCTCCCCAAATTCATGTTCTAAGTGGACATAAGAATGTGACCTTATTTGGAAATAAGGTCATTGCAGATGTAATTAGTTAAGATGAAGTCGGACTGCAGTAGGGTGGGCCCTAAATCTAATATGACCTGTGTCATTCTAAAAAAAAAGAGAAGAGACTCAGACACACGGGGAGAACTCCAAGTGATGATGGAGGCAGAGATTGGAGTGATGTAGCTAAGAGCCAAGGAAGGCCCAGGACTGCCAGCCACCACCAGAACCAGCATCTCAGACAGCACATGGTCCCGCCGACACCTCAATTTTGGACTTTTAGCCTCCAGAACTCTAAGTGAATTCCTGTTGTCTTAAACCGTCCAGTTTGTGGTACTTTCTTATGGTAGCCCTACCAAATGAATACAACCTCGATTCTACATATGGGAAAACTGAGGCCCAGAGAGACGCCACAGGCCCAAAGTCACACAGATGAAAAGTGACAGAGCTGGGATTGGAACCTAGGCCTGGTCGAACCCAAAGCTTGAGACAGAAACCTCACAAGAAGTTGGCTTTAAAAGCACGGGCAATTCTTGAAGCCTTGGTGACCTCTTTTGATTCTGATCTCAAGTTCCCAATGACTGGCACCCAGGATCTCCTTGTCAGCAAATGACATAGATGTCCCAGTGTAAATGGGAGGAGAGAGTCACATGTACTTTCCTGCCCTTCTGAACTGTGGTATTCTTTTAGAGAGCGGGTATTTCTTTTATACTTAAAGGAGGAAGAAAGTAGGAAATGAGACAAAATAATGAGAATGAGAAAAGGGGAGAAGTAGAAATCACGGTTGGAATAAACACGTAAAAGAAAACGAGTTGGAAGTGGAGAGGCCAGTTTCCACGGAGCCTGTAGATGCAGAGGTCCCAAGTGGTTCTGAGGGCTACCCCCTTGCAAGGGAGGGGCTGCTGCTGGCATGTGGGCCAGGAGGGCAAGGGGACCTCATGGTGTATGTAAGATTAAAGGTCTGCCGTGCCACTTCCCACCACAGGTCTTCCTGAGCAAGGACTGTATCCCTCCAAGCTGCACTTTTCCCATCTATAAATGGACCTCCTTGGAGTCCACAGCTCCTGGGGCCAGTAAGGTGGGACGGCAGAGGATGCAGTCCATGAAGAGAGTTTGTCCAGGAACTGGCCCCCCGTGAAAGTACGGCACTATAAGTAGTTGTAGTTACTACTGGGGTAGGGGCGGGTGGGGAAGAGGAGGCACCTGGGGAGATTTCCCAGGGGCTCCAGGAAGGAAGAAGATAAGAACATGAGTGTGAACTCTGAGAGGCAGACTCTGATGGGCATGCCCGGGGCACCGTCTTCTCCTGGAGCCTGCTGACCCTCTGATATGAGTCAGAGGACTCAGAGCCCCAAGGCTTCCCAGTCTTCCTTCTGAAGAGCCTCACCACCCACCTTAGTTTCTCCCATCCCAGCCCTGACCACCCTGGACTGCCTTCATGCTGGGCTGAGGGCTTTCTGAGGGCAGGAAGTTTGGTGACCTCCATATCCACAGCATCACCCAGTGCAGGGCCAGAATCAGCAGAGCCCTTTCTGAGTTTTAGCTGTCCTTGTTCTACCTGTGTGATGCAATAGTGTGTGGGCACCAGAGGATATTTGCCAAAGGAACATCTGAAGAAGCCAGTGGAGAGAGCCTGTGAGGCTGACCCACATAGAACCCCTCCCACTGCACGAATTAACCACAAAGGCTCCCAGACCAGCAGAGCCTAGCTAGGGGTCTAGGGCAGGGCTGGTGCCCATTTCTATCACCTGTAGATGGATCCTGGGGGACAGGTGAGCCACGCAGATCCTGACTCCTCACTGAGCTCGAAGTTGTCAAAAATGATGTCCTTCCCATTTGATGTTTCACATGGGACATTACAGGCTTCCACCTGCATCTCAGGCCGCATGCGGCTGGACCACAGCCTAGCACCTCCCAGATAGAGCCAGCAGGGCAAGGGTTTCTCCAGAGGCTCCTGAATGTAGCAGTACCCCAGGCGTTTGCGCTCACCCGGCTCCCCGCAGCGGTTACAGTCCTGCCAGGGATCCCAGTGAGTGAAGATGAGCTCTTTGCTGCCCAGACTCAGGGACTCACTCTGCAGGGGCTTTTGGCCCAGGCCTCTGTGTGTAATATGCAGGATGCTGACGTCCTGAAAGTCAATCTCGTACTGCACCACTTGGGTGCCGTTCTTGTCCTGGCAGTTGTAGAAGCCCGTCTGGGATGGCAATGGATTTTTAATGAGAATGCTGCCTCCAGGCCTTATTTCTACGTTCGGAACACTGAGGGGGTGGCTGGACCAGTTGGTCTCATCATGCAGGAAAAAGTAGTGCCACTGTGCCCCAGAGGAGTTGCAATGCAGTAAGATATCATTGTTGGAAAGTAGGGCCCGTTGGCATAACTTGCCATGGGAACAGTTGATGGAAACATAGAATCCCAGCACTGGGACAGCAAAGCTGAGCAGCAGCCACAGGGTGGTCAGCATGGTGGACTGGGACTGTGGCAGTGGGCCGGGCACCACTCTGGACATTGTGAGGTCACTCATGAAACTCAGACCTCAGCCCTGCACAGCAGAATTAACTGCAGTTCATCCCATGGATGTGTGAGGTCATGATCCCTATTTGTTTTGTGACAAGTCAACAACCCTATTTAATTTCTCTTTCAAGCCCTCTACTCTGCTGGAGTAGGAGGAATTTTAATTTATCTATTCAGGATTTTCACTACCATCCCAATACTTTAGCATTAAAGTGTCACGTGTGAACAATCAACACATTTTTCCTAAAGACCTACTAAGTTCTGGGCACAGTTTTTAGTGCTAAGGATGAAGAGGTCAATAAATCCCCTGGTTATCATTCTTAACTCACACCTGTCCCCCAGCCTCTCCTCTCCAGCCTTGTTAGCCTCACTGCTTGTTTGCTGTCTCCTGAACATAGCAGGTAAGCAAAGGGCTCCCACCTCAGCTTTGCACATGCTGGTCCCTGGCTCTTTCCACAGATATCTGCATGACTCAATTCATTTAAACAAATAAATATTTTTCTCAGTTGTCCCCTTCTCAAACCCTTTTCTAAACTCCTTCTTAGTCCTAAAACAAAATAATTGTGCAGGCTTGATCTGCCTTCATTCACTCATTTCAAAAATGTTTACTGAATGCCTACCGTGTGCTAACTGTTATTCTAATCACAGCAGTGAACAGGTTAGGAAAAGCCTCTGCCCTCCTTGAACTTACCTTCTAGTGGAAGAGACAGATAATAAAAAAATATATAATAAATACTGTCAGATATAATAGATTCTCATTATGTACACAGTTATTTTTCTATAAAGTTGCTGAACTAGCAAATACTGAAACACTGTTCCTAGAAGAAACACAGGGTTAGGGTCCTACAGGCCATAAGTTTTTTTGTCAACTGATCAGCACAGAATCTTATTTTAGGTGTGTTTTCTTAAAGACACCTTATTTAATATTTATTGTTGGTTCATTAACTTGTAGCCAATAGCACTATAACTCGTACCTAAACAAAGCTAATCTAATACATACATATTCTTCATAAGGCACATCACAGCCTTCTTGCCCTTAGGAACACTAGATAGCACTTCAGCACTATGTTTAGGAATCATTTTAAACAGCAAAATCACCAAATCAAAGCACAAATATGTAAAGAAAAAGTGGCACTAAATAAACCTTGAATAAGGATACTCGTTAATAGTATGAGAGCTAAAACAAGGCAGAGCGTCACCTTGTTCAGCTTCAGCTGGGAACATGCATTGGTAGGTGACTCAATTTTTTTGCTACTCTGTGCATGTCTGTAAATGATTATGAAAGCACCGTGGGTATTGATTTGGGGGTTACGAATAAATTTTAGTGAGTAGGTGAATTCATAAGTATGGAACCCTTGAATAATGAGGACTGGCCATAATAACTGCTAAAGAGAAAAATAGAGCAGGAAAATGGGTACAGGAAGTGAAAGATGGTATATAGGTATGAACTATATTAGGGAGGATGATCAGGCTTATCTGAGTATTCTCTAAGGAGGTGAAGTTTCATCAACACCTGAATGAAGTGTGATAAAGAGACATGTGGATTTCTGAAGGAAAACTATTCCCCAGGAGAAGGCTAGACACAGACATCGCTGCTGGGTTAGTGTATTTAAAGGGTGCGGAGGCCAGAGTAACTGAGGAAGAATGGACAAGGGGGAGTGGTGAGTAGGTGAGGTCAAAGTTCATCTAGTCTTTGATAGGACATACTGCCTTTTTCCCTTTACCTGGCTATTTAAGGCTAGGGTCTCTCTTAGTCATGCCGCTGCCCCATGTGGGGACCTCTACAGGTTATTTTTAGCATAAGCTGTATGCTTAGACTCAGGAATTGTTGCTTTTATGTATCTTGTTACCACCCCCCACCCCAGGAGTGGCACATCCTTTCTGCTCTTACTTCCTCTCTGCTCTCAGATCTACAAAACCACCTAGACTTTTTTGTCTGCTTCCCAGGACCTTATAATGTCCCTCTATATAAGACATATTAACACCTATACTCCTATTGTTTCCCCTCTATCTCTCTCCTTCTCTGTCTTTCTTTTCAGTCCAGGGAATCTTTTCTAAACAGGTAAGCAGGGCTATGGAAAGACTGTAGGAAAGTCCATTTCAATTTTAATTTTATCTAGATGGAAAGTCATAAACTGACTGAATTCAGCCTGAATATATGTTTTAATAGGCCTCAGAAGATGTTTTTAGAATATTTAAATCAGTGACCAAAATGTAAAATCCAAGGGATTTCATACAAGAGTCTAGATTCCTTGCTATTCTTTAAATAATGTGGGTGAGTTTCTGCTTACTGCTACAAATTGAGTAGCTTACATCAGACAAACCCTCTTAATTATAACAACTGTGGATTTTATGATAATATGATTACAATGTTTAAGAAATGACACGATGAAGATTCAAATCTATATAGAAGAATCAAACGGAAATACTAGAATTAAAAAATAAAAGTTGTAAAATTAAGAATTCACTAGAAAAGGTAACAATCTATTAGATACAACAGAGGGGAGGATCAGGAAAATGAAAACTGTGTCCATAGAAAAATATCTTTACTGAAACATGCAAAGGAAAAAGATAGGAAAAAAATACAGAAAATAGTGTAAGAGACTTGTGAGATATGATGAAAATGTCTAAAATGCATGTAAATGAAGACCCAGAATTAAAAGAGATAGGAGCATAAGCAATATTTGAAGAGATACGGAATGAAAATGTTCCAAGACTGATGAAAGACATTAAGTCACAAAGTCAATAAGGTCTTTAAACTCCACACAGGATAATAAAGGGAACTACACATAGCAACTTTATAAGAACACATTGCTGAAAGCCAGAGAAGAAATCTTAAAAATGACCAAGGGAGAAAAAGATACATTACTTTCGAAGCAACAACTATAAGACCCCACATTGACTTACAAAAAGAAATAACGGAAGCTGGAAGACAATGGGATGACATCTTCAAAGCACATAAAGAAAATGATTGCCAATCTAGAACTCTCTCTATAGAAGTCTATACACTAAAATGAAAATATTCTTCAAAGATGGAAGCCAAAAAAACAAGTTATTTTCAGATTAAAACAGAGAATTCACCATAGCAGAGCTCACTAAAAGTAATAGTAAAGTGAATTCTCCAGGCAGCAGGAAAATTATCTCCAAAGGAAGCAAGTCACTCCAGGAATGAAAAGCACCCAAAGAGTAAAATTTGGGTAAAAGTAAATTAATATAGAGAGTGTTTTAAAATGTCTCATGGGGTATAAAATATACGTGAAGTAAAAATAACTGATAACAAGAGACAACAGATGGAAGGAGAATAAATGGAGCTAAAAGATTATAAAGTCTCTGCATTGTCTAGGAAATGGCACAAGTATAAATTTATATTGTATTCTAATAAGTGATAATGTTGTAATCTCTAGAGCAAATAATAAAATAATGCATATTTAATAAACTAATAGAGGGAGAAATGGAAGGATAATTTAAAAACACTTGATGAGTCCAAAAGCAAGAAAAGAACCAAAGAAAAGATGGAAAAAGTAGAAAGCAAACAGGAATATGGTAGATTGAAATCCAACTATATTAGTAATTATATCAAAGTAAATGAACTAAATATTAAAAGACAAAGATTTTAAGACTTAAGACAAAAATAAATATCTAAATGTGTACTGCTTAAAAGATAATCACCTTAAATAAAAGATATTGAAAAGTCAAATGTAAAAACATGGGAAAATATGCAAATGCTAACCAAAAGAAAAACTGGTGTAGTAGCTATACTAATAACAGAAAGTAGATATAAGGCCAAAAATATTAATAGAGATTACAAAAGACATTTGATAAAGTAGTCAATCCAGTAGGAAGATACATAGATCTTAAGTTTGTGTGAACCTAAAAGTATATAAAGCAAAACATGATTGTACTAAATGTTGAAAGAGACAAATCCACAATGGAATATGCAAACAAAAATTTAGTAGAGAAATAGAAGATTTGAACCATATGATATAAACTCGACCTAATTCATGTAACAGAACACTCCACTTAACTTTAGAACATACATTCCTTTCACATTCACATGAAATATTTGCCAAAATTGACCATATTTTAGGCCATCCAAAAATGTTAAATGAACTGAATCACATTTTTACCAGAGGAATTAAGCTGGACACATATGACAAAAAGATAACAAGAACATCCTCGAATATTTAAAGATTATACAATGAAATTTCAAAATAACTGATGGGTCAAAAGAGAAATCACAAAAATAGAAAGTTTTCTTAACTGACTGGAGATGAAAATGTAACATCAAATTTGTGAATGCAGGTAAGTTGTGCTTAGGGGAAAATTTACAGCCTAAATACATACTTTGGGGAAAAAGGGATAAAAACTAGAGATCTAAGAAAGCATCGCAAATACTAGAAATGAATTAGATAAAAAACAAAAGTACAATTAAAAAAAAATCAAGAAATAAAAGTAGATTGTTTAAAAAGATGAATGAGATTGATATAGCCCTAGCGAGATTGATCAAGAAAAAAGGAAGGGGACCTAAATAACTAATATTAGTAGTGAAAAATGAGGTATTACTACAGATGATGAGAGATTATTACAAACAACTTTTGGCCAAAACTTCCGAAAATTTAGATGAAATGGATAAATTCATTGAAAAACTCAACAATTGAATAAGAAAAAATCTGTAGTTCTAGATTACTATTAAAGAAATTGAATCTGTAGTCAAAAACATATGTACAAAAAAAGCCTCTAAGCCCAGAAAGCTTTACCAGTAAATTCTTCTAAACATTTCTTAACAATTAAGAAATGAAATAAATCTTTCAAAACCTTTCCAGAAATAGAAAAAGATATAACACTTCCAAACTTCCATGAGGCCAGCATCATCTTGATACCAAAAGCTTATAAGGACATTACAACAAAGGAAGACCTATACTACCAGATATCACGACTTATTATGAAGGTATAATAATTAAGACACATTGGTACAAGTAGGGATAGACAAATTGTTATCAGTCAGAGCTCCATGAGGAGACAGGAACAACAGTTGTGTCTATGTTGGCATGAGCATAGGCCAGAGTGTCTTGGTCTCTAGGTTTTATGTTTGAATATCAAGAAACTATGAGGGCAGGGACTAGACCTTTGTTGGTCACCATCATGTCCACAATATCACCCTAGAGCCTGGCTGAGAAGAGGTACCAGAGAATTCTTGCTGAATAAACATCTGAACAAGCCAGTGGGGAGACCCCTTCCTGCATCGATTGACCATGAAGGCCTATGGGCTTGAAGACAGAGCCTACTTTTCCATTGGAAGGTAAACCCCTGTCCCAGGTGGGCACAGGAAACAAAGCCTAGTCCAGTCACCTGTAGATGGAGGCCAAGGGGCAGGTGAGCCATATGTTGGTCAACTTGCCCAACTGGTAAATGTCAAAGATGAAGTATGGCTGGTTGATTTCCTTGAAGTGGTCACAGGGTACAAGGCAGGCTTCCACCTGCATTTCAGGCCGCATGCGGCTGTCTTTCACCTTCTCCACTCTCAGATAGAGCCAACAAGGCATGGGTTTCTCCAGGGGCTCCTCAATGTAGCAGTACCCCAGGCGTTTGCGCTCACCCGGCTTCCCGCAGCGGTTACAGTCCTGCCAGGGCTCCCATTGGGTGAAGATAAGTACACTGGTACCCAGCTTCAAAGTCTCATTCTGAAGGGGCTTTTGGCCCAGACCTTTGTGTGTAATATGCAGGGTGGTGACATCCTGGAAATCAAGCTCATAGTCCACCACGAGGGCACTCTCATTGTCCTGGCAGTGATAGAGGCCTGTCTGGGAGGGCTGAGGGTTGGTCAGTTGGAGGCTGCCCCCAGGCAGTTTCTTTATGTTAGGCATTGAGGACACCAGCAATGGCTCCTCCTCAAGAATAGAAGAGTAGTACCAGAGTGCCTTTGGATGGTCACACTGCAGGACAACATCATTGCCTGAGAGTAGAGCCTGCTGGCAGAGACTCTTGTAGGCACAGCTGATTAATATCTGGGTCCACAAAGTGGGGAGAGAAAGACTAAGCAGCAATAGGGTGGCCAGCATTGTAGCCCAAGACTACAGAAGAAGGCTGGGAACCACCTTGGACATTGTGAAGTCATCCACAGAACTCAGACATCAGTCCTGGGCAGTAGAATGAACCTTGGTCCACCGCACTTCCAGGAGGACAGTTCATGTCATCAGATAGCTTGGCATAGGTTATAGGGTCAAAAACTTAAATATCCACAAGAGCTGGACAGGAAACAAAATGAGTGAACCTAAGTCAGAACAAGTGAACTAAAAAGCCAAATTATTTGTCCTCCTCCTACCCAAAAGGCAATGGTGAAATGGGACAAATGGCTTCATGTACATCAGGAAAAAAGAAGAGGAGACACACAGAAATCACTGGTCTGTACTGTTTCTAAAATCCAGAAAGAAGATACAGCAAGGGCTTCCTATCTTGTAGATCAGGAGAATTCCTTAATTAGCACCAAATCAGCTTCTTGGGGGTGGGGTTCCCCAAACCTTTGTTCTCTGTGGCTCATGTCTCTCTTCTTCAGGGAGGTATCTCCTTTCCATTGTCTTCCTTAGCTACATCTGAACTGGCACTGGAAGATGTGAGCTCCTTAGCACATGAGCAGTTTTCTCAGTGTGCTTGCTATCTCCCAAAGTTTAGGACTTAAAGATTCTTATAAGCCGCCAGCCAATTCCACATGAAAACGAAAACAAACACACCATCCACCGTTCTGTTCAAGATGTTCCCTACTCCTTGCTCTCTCATTCTCCCTCTCTTTCTCCCCCTCTCTCTGTCATTACAAGCATCTTAAAGTCTACCAGGCATCCATGGAGAGCCATATTCTTCCATCTTTTGTTCACTGAGCGTTTTTGTCTACCAGGGAGTAACTTAAGGATATTTCTGGGAGTATCTTAATTCATTCAGAGATTTTAACAATGGTTAACAGTGATTTAATTAGTGATATTCCTTGATTTTATCCGTGACAAAAGCTAAGTTCTAATTGGGCTTTGTTTCCCAAAGGCCTTCCCAATTTTTGGCAAACTTTGGCCAATGTTCACTCCTAGTGTTCTGTATTTCAACTACTTCCCCTAAAGCTGTAAGTTCATTAAATACTTTATCTGCCATCAAGAGTATCTCAGGCAATAGTCTCTAGCCTTCTTGTTTCAAATAAGTTTTCTTGTTCCATTTGCTCTATCTCTAAGTCAATGCCATGTGTCTTTATTTTTATTATAGCAGCACCCCACTCCTTATATCAATTTCTGTATCACTCAAGATAGGCTATTTGTTACTACACAGTAATAAACTTTTCCCAAATCTCAATGGCTTACAAAACAAGGTTTTATTTCACACTCAGGCTCCATGTCCATTGTGAGCTGGCATTATAATCATCAGGGATCCAGGTTGATGGAGCAACTCCCATTTCCAATTTCATTCCAGAGGAGGAAGAAAGAGAGCTCTGTAGTATTTTATGTCTACAATTAAATGCTCTGGCCTTAAAAGACACATGTCACTCGTTCACTAACCATTAGCCAGAAATAGTTACATGGCATCACCAATTCACCAACCCAACAAAGGAATGGAATTCTATATGTCCTGAAACAGTTGGCAAATAGCAGTTAGTAATGATAACCACAGCTAATGTCTACTATAAGGAGACCATAAAATTATACCATAAAATTAAAACCATTATATTATACCATAAAATTAAATACATTCTCAAAATCTTCCCATCAGATCTCTCCTGATTCCTGGAGTTCCAGTCAAGATAGTGGGGTAGATAAAAGCAGGGTTTCCTCCCTTCCATGACAGCATTAAAGTTACAACCAAATTGTAAAACAAACAACTTGGAGAACCACCTGAAGTTTAGCTTATCATAACACATACATCTGAGAATATTAAAAAAAAAAAGCCACATTAAGTCTAGTAGAAGGGGCGGAGACATGAAGCAGGCTGGTTCCACACCCACACGTGGCAGCTGAGCAGTAGGAGGAAGAATGCAGCTACAGAGGCCCCCCCTGAAGTAACAAGAGGACCTAGCCCCCACATAGGGGCTCCCCAACACCGGGTTCCAGTCCCAGGAAAGGGAGTTCCCAGAAAATCTGACTATAAAAACCAGTGGGGACTCAAGCCATCTGGGTGAGACAGAAGGAACCTGAAAACTCAGACATTCCCTTAAAGGGCATGTGAACAGACTCATTTGCTCACAGACACTCACCCTGAGCTCTGGCGGAGTGTCAGCTACTCAGGAGGCACAAGAGACAGATGGGGAAAGGCTGAGTTGCATGATGCCAAGGCAAATGCTGGAGGGACAGTTGCCATTGCTCCTTTGTCAGGCCCCCTCCAGAGCAGTCTGCAGACGAGCGCCATCCTGCCTGTGTGAAACGCTCCCACCTCCCATCATGCAGCCAATTCTGAAGCTGCATTGGTCTGGAGAGATCAGCCAGCTCCACCCCATGTTGCCCTGGGGCCCCGTTGTACCCAGCCCACAAATTGCCTGCACTGGCCCATTGCTGGGCAGCCAGCCCCATCCTGCACCTTCCCTGGGCTGTGCATTTATTGGCAGGCAGCAGCCCTCAGCTCATGCTATCTACGTGCAGCCCACACATTTTGGGGGAGACTTTTGGTGGCGAGCCACTGGTGCCCACCTGAGTTGCAGTATCACTTGGGTGTATTGCAGGGGTATGAAGACCTGAGGCAGACAGAGGCTGGCTTTGCTGCAATCTCAGACTTTTACAAGAAAGTGCAGATTCAGCATTGGCTGGGTTAAATTCATTTGTTCTATCCTGGTGACTCCTTGGGTCCCCACCCCACCCCTAACTCACATGCCACCAAAGGCTCAGTTCTTCCAGCTGCAAAGTCATACAAGCAGCTGGCAAATAGCTCCAGGCCTTGAGGTGCACTGGTCCTTTTGCTAAGCCATCCCAGGTCTGGTACTGGGGATAACCAGTCTTGGCTCGCAGCATGGTCTCTCCCACTTGCCTCAAGATCTAGCATAGGCAGCAACCATTTGCGGATCACTCTGTAGCTCCTACCAGGTAGATCTGAGCAATCAAAGGCAGTGGCTGACCTTGGCCTACATGGGAACCAACATACCCAAAAGCTGGTGTCACACAACAACAGAGCATCACCTGACTAGCCCCATAAGTGGCACAACCAAAGGATGGCCTCAACAGGATATGAGACTGCTGGGGTGAATCCTACTTCACGGAGTCAGCCCCCAAACAGCTTTTCATACATTGTGAGCCTGGCTGATCCCCAAGCCAGTCAGCCTGAGAGTCAATCACATCCCGTGACATGATAACAGCAATCAAGGCTTAGCTACAGCAGAAAAGGACACACACAACCACACAAGGAACACACCCAGAGCCTCCGGCGCAGGTGATCAGGGAGACTGCACCAATGGGCCGCATAAGACACCTACTACATAAGGCTACCTGGCCAAGGTTAGGAGATGGGAGATGTAACAAATATTCCAAATACATAGAAACAAACAAAGAGAGGCAACTAAAATGAGAAAACTAAGGAACATGGTGCAAATGAAACAACAGGAGAAAACTCCAGAAAAAAAAACAAAAAAAAACTAAACAAAATGGAGGCAAGCAACCTACCAGAGACAGAGTTCAAAACACTGGTTATAAGGATGCTCAATGACCTTAGGGGGAGAATAAATTATCTCAGTGAGAACAACAATAGAGAGATAGTAAGTATAAAAAAGGACATAGACACCATAAAGAAGAACCAGTCAGAAATGAAGAATACACTAGAAGGAATCAACAGTAGATTAAATGAAGTGGAGGACTGAACCAGCAAATTGGAAGACAAAATAGCAGTAAACACCCAATTAGAACAACAAAAAGAAACAAAGAATAAAAAAAAAAAACTGAGGACAGTTTAAGAGACCTCTGGAACAACATCAAATGTACCAACACCCACAACATTCAGATATCAGAACAAGAAGAGAGAGAGCAAAGGACAGAGAATCAATTTGTAGAAATAATGACAGAAAACTTCCTTAACCTGGTGAAGGAAATAGACATAAAAGCCAAGGAAGCACAGAGTCCCAAATGAGAGGAACCCAAACAGACCTACACCAAGACATATCATCATTAAAATGCCAAAAGTTTGAGGCAAAGAGAGAATCCTAAAAGCAGCAAGAGAAAGGCAGCTAGTTACTTACCAGAGAGCTCCCATAAGAATGTCAGCTGATTTCTCAACAGAAACAAAAGGGATTGGCATGAAATATTAAAAGTGATGAAAAACAAGAACCTACAACCAAGACTACTCTACCCAGCAAGGCTATCAATTAAAATGGAAGGTAAGACAAAGAGCTTCCCAGACAGGAAAAAGCTAAAGGAATTCATCACCAACAAGAAATGTTAAGGGGACTTTTGTAAAAAAAAAAAAAAAGGGGGGGGGAACCCATAAATATGAATAATAAAATGGCAATGACTATGTACCTATCATTAATCACTTTAAATGTAAATGGATTCAATATTCCAATCAAAAGACATAGGGTAGCCGAATGGATAAGAAAACAAGCCCCATACATATGCTGTGACAAGAGACCCACCTCAGATCAAATGACTCACACAGGCTGAAAGTTAAGGGATGGAAAAAGATATTTTGTGAAAATGGAAATGGAAAAAAAAAAACTAGGGTAGCAATATTTATATCAGACAAAATAGACTCTAAAACAAAGGTTATAATAAGAGACAAAGAAGGGCATTACATAATGATAAAGGAATGAATACAACAAGAAGACATAACCCTAGTGAACATAGACACACCCAACATAGGAGCAGCTACAGATACAAAGCAATTCTTGACCAACATAAAAGGAAAAATTGATAGTAATACACTCTTAGTAGGAGACTTTAACACTCCATTGACACCAATGGACAGATTTTCCAGACAGAAAATCAGTAAGGAAACAGCAGCCTTAAAAGACATACTAGACCTGATGGATTTAAATGATATTTTCAGAGCATTTCACCCTAATGCAGCAGAATATACATTCTTCTCAAGTGCACATGGAACATTTTTCAGGATA